TATATATATATATATTTCTAGCAAATCATCACATCATAATTAAATAATGAGATAGGTTATCCACATGGGATGGGATAAAAATTTAATAATATTCCTACCAAAATTTTAAAATTAATTTCCCAAACTTTACCAAAATTAATTTGCAGGACATGCCAAGTTTGCACTATGTTTTTTAACATAAGAATGTTAGTCCTGCCTTGCATTTTTCCACACCTCCATCACACATTTCCTTAATATATAAAAAACTAAAAAGCTACGAAAATTCACTTTTCACTCTTCTTTTCTTTTTATAAAATATAAAAAAATAATGTCGGAGTATCATTTAAATTTTGGAATTCTTCCAAAAGCGAGAATGAAAACATGAACTATTTCGCGTTGCGTGTCTAGAAGACAATATTTCACTCATTGCTAGCTGTATGTACCATGAATCGAAATTCAATTCGAAGCTTCATCATCATATGTATCCCTCTTCGCAACTATATAATATAAAATCAAACAGTGCAGTGCATTAAATCACTAATCGTTGCACTCAATTATACAATAATGTAAACTTGTAATTTCGCTACCATCAAGACGTACGGTCTTTTTCTTGAAACAGAAAAACAGAAGACAATAAAAAGAGGAAGAATGAGCTGTAAAAAATGGAAATACATAAAAATCCAATAGAGAATCTTCCTTTAACCTTTATTCTTGTCCTTGAAAAGCAGAACTATATAATGTAAGCTCAGAACCGCTTTCTACACGTATCTTTCACCTCATTTACATCATCATAATAATAAACCACCTCACCAGTTCCCCTACCAGCATTGTATACATGAATCTCACAACAAAAACAAAAAATAGAGATAAAGAAGACCAACCAAGTCAACAAACACAAAGTAGCTAGTAGCTAGCTACTTGAGAAACAAGAAAAATTATATAAATATTTTTGCCATTGAAAAGAAAAATTGGCAAAAGGGCATATATATATATATCTAAAGCTTAAGTAATAGTTACTATGCAATTAAAAAAAAAAAAAAAAAAGAAGCAAAAACTAATCTATGGAGTTATTAAGTGAGTGAACAACTTTTCTCAATAAATATATTATTTCATTCACATGAACCTAAAAGATTGAAACTCTAACTACATACTTAATAGACATGATTGTCGGGTAACCACACCGCCAGAAAATATGAGAAGAACCGTACTGCAATGGGTAGGTTTAGTGTAATTGGGTGAAGTTTAAGGCCACAACGAAAGAACCATATTTTCTGACTCATGCATTGAAACCATGTTCATGTCGCCGATGAAGTACCCACCGTCATAAATGCTGTGATACCATGGCTGAGAGTAGGGCCACGCGTCGTCCGGCTCCACGAAAACGAACTCGGGACTCGGCTCTGCCGAGTCGAAACTCGTTCCCAGCGCCGGCAGCTCCACGATCTCGCCGAGCTCCTCCTCCGGCGTGGCCACCGGCGAGGGAGGGGTCCGCGGCGGGGCCGCCACCATGGAGGCGGCCTTGGCGGCGGCTGCCTGCACGTCGCGGGGGGCGTTCGAGGCCGGCCGCGGCAGCGAGGCCGCCAGTTCCGGGAAGTTGAGGATCGCGGAGGAGCCCTTGATGGTCAGCGCCGCCACGTCGTGCGCACGCGCCGCCATCTCGGCGGTGGCGAACGTGCCCAGCCAGATTCGGTTCTTCTTTCGCGGCTCGCGGATTTCCGACACCCATTTTCCCCACGTGCGCATTCGGACACCTCTATACACCGAGTGTTTATTGTTGTTGTTATTGTTATTGTTGTCGTTGTTACTATCTCGTCCTCGTTTCTTAGAATTCGAGGACGAGGAGGACGGTGAAGAAGCCGAAGTTGAGTTTGTGTTTGTTGATGTTTCTGATTGTGGGCTTGGTGGCTCGACCATTGTTTAAGGAATAGAAAGTTGTTGGTGTTTTGGTGGCAGTGACGGAGTGTGGGTGACGGGAGGGTAGGAATAATGGGAAAGTGATGAAGTGAAGAGGGGGAAGGGGGGGTTTTAGTAGAGACTAGAGAGGGAGAGAAGTAAAGAAAAGATGAAAAAATAAAAACGTGGGTGGTTAATGGTTATGTAATGCGTAAGGAGGAAGGACCCTCAATAGTCCCACACGAATGGCTCTGCTTTCAAAATCGCATCATGGGGTTTAGTTTGTGTGTATTGTAGATCAATGTGTTTGCATACGCAAACAAATATATATATATATATATATATATATACTTATTTTTTTGGAAGGAGGTGGCGAAGGAAGAAGGAAGGTGACAAGGGTTCATGAATAGGTCACAAACAGGCTGGCACAGGTTTCTGGAGATTTTTCATTGGGCCATGGCATGGGCTAATAATAACAAATAATAATCTCATTTTTTACACTATCCTTGTGTACTTGCATGTATGCGAGATCAATAAAGTTTTTATAAGATTTATCTTTAATTTTTTTTTATAAAAATATTATTATTGATTTTAAAAAAGCTTTACTTTAAGTCTAATAATATGTTGAATCAATTTTATCTACTTGTACTATTTATATCTCGGAAAAAGAGGAGAAATAAGAAAGGAATAGAGAAGGAAAAAAAAATAATAGGTGCCTTAAGAAAAGAAGAAAGGATGTATAAAAACAGATGGAATTGAATAATATTTTGCTAATATTTTCTTTTAAGAGATAATGAGTAATTTTGCTCGAGACGAATTATTTTCTGCAGTCAATTTTTTCTTTTGAATATTTAACTTAGCCATGTATATTTAGAATTCGAAAAACACTCGTATTTGTTTTACTTGGATTAATTCATACTCAAATGTTTGCTCACTTAATATTTAAGTACAGGCTTAACATGTATGTTGAATTAGAGTTGATAAATTGGTCAAATTCGACTCAACCTGCTAAATCAATAATTATAAAGTAGTTTAACATGATTGAATCAAAAGTTTTATGAGACACTTATTTTGTGGTTTGTTGAATCAATTTAAATTAATTATTTTATTTTATTTTATTTATATTTAAAACACATATATAATACAAGAGCTAAATAAATCTAATAGAACTTAAATATTATTAGTCTTTAATATTAGGCCAAATTAACCTATTTTCTTTTATATTATTTTTTTTTAGTTTAATCTGTCCAGTATGCTGGACCATCATGTCTATCCGTTGGAAAGAGTATTTTTTACATTTTACTATTAAATATTAAGGAAATATGTTAAATATCGAAGAGAAATACTACATCGTATAATGTATTTATTACGGCACATATTTTGCAATTAATTAGGTGAAATTTATGTAGATCTCATTGAATATAATATTCTTATTTTCTATTTAATATGGGTAACGTTCTTAAATCAGTCAAACCCACTTTAATTTCATTCAACTAAAGAGAATTTATCGGAAAAAAAAAATACTAGAAAATGTGCGTTCTTTTTATGTGTTGCTGCATTCGTCTATGTTAAATATTCGTTAATTGTTGCTTCCCTTTTCACCTATTATTGTCCCATCCTCTCTTTTTTCTTTTGACTAGTTAGTAAGTAGCTAACAATACCAACATGACTAATATACCCTTCTTGACTTGTACTTCTTTCCATGTATTACACACATTATATGCCAAAACATTCGTATGAAGTATTCCTTTTTATTTCTATAATTATTGAGAAAAATACTCGTCTAATGACTTCGGTTTTTACTCCACATTCTTTGATCCTCGACGCTAGAAATGAGTGGTAGTATTTAGAGTGTATAATGTATTCTCTAGAATCAGCGTGTCCTTATTCTAAAGGTAAAATGTATGTGTATGTATAAGATCCGAAGAAATGTTACTATTAGTTAACAAAATATTTAAATACATTCAAGACTTTTTATTGACACGTGATGGTCAGACGTTACAATTTGTCACTCATAGGGGGTCATGTTCGACATGCGAAGGACTGGTCGGCCTTAGGAATTATGCTGCTCAGTTAGGCAAATAGTCCAAATCCTTGCTATTTAGTCATGGTGGCTTTCTTTTGGTATTAGGTCGAGAATCAATAAGTCTTCAATATTGAATTCTAAGACCTATCTGATATAAGCTTCCCAAGTCTCTGACTCTTGGTAAAAGAGTTCAATGTGTTATTGGTGAAAAATTTTTGTTTTCTGCCTTCAATTTAATTTGAAATTGTTGCCTTCTGGATATGTTTTTCGTTTTAGTGGTTGCGTCAAATATAATGATAGCATGTTAGATGAAACATCTAAAAAATGCAAAGAGTCACTTTTGTTCCCATCGTTGATCTTGAAGAGATCTAATGGTTCAAAAAGGTGTGATGCTTTGTCTCTTGATGCACTTCGCATTTATAAATAGGATCTCTTAGCCTTTATTAGGATTTACCTACAACCTCTACCTTTCGATTACTTTGAGCACTCTCCACTAAATTAAAGTATCTGAAAGTCGAGTATCGATCAAGTACGCCTCCTCTCCCATCTTTTTTATGAGTTCTTCCAAAAATAGTATAGAGTCTCCTTTCTTAGGTAGAATGAAAGTTAATGTTATCTCTAGCTCTTCTTCCATCTCTTCCTCCAAAACTCTTCATTCGAAAACTCTCCAACCCTTCTTCTTGTTCTACTCCGAATGCTTTGATAACTCCTTTGGGTAGATCTTTCTCGGTCGACCATCTAGGTGTCTCGAGTTACCAATGATGACTAGGTCAAAAATAAGGCGGCTAACCCAAGTGGAGCGACTCCTCTAGAGGATAACCTGGACTTGATGTTGGTTTCCAACTCGAGAGTTGGGTTCGTCATGAAAATAGAAGAATACTTAGACCGATTTTTTTGACAAAGTTTTTGAGTATTCTTCAAAATTTACAGATGAAGCTTTACTGATCCGCTTCCTCAAGAATACCAATATTGTATAATTCGGGTATGGAGACCTTGTAAGGGCCCAAAGGCCTTAAAGGAAGAGAGCGTATGCTGAGAAATCGATGATGATAAGGCATGCTTCTTCTTCTTGTACAAGTGCCACTTCAAACCCTTGAATGTCCAACTTCCCTTCAAAACTTTCATCGTTGGGAGTTTTGTCGATATTCAAGGTAGCCTCAACACAACTTCACCCTAATAGTTAGGCTTGCAAGCATTTTGATTTGTTTGTAACAGCCTAAATATAGAGCTGACCCCTAAAATTTTCTTGCACTTCTGTGAAACCAAGCCCAATAATGTGTCTGGATAGTTGTCTTTGATTAGTCATGCATGCGCACAGGGTCTTATTCAAACCCTACATCACCTCCTTCAAGAACTTCAAGGATGGGTTTTTCAAAATCTTACCAACTGTCAATTGACCCCAAAATTCCCTTTCTACTGTACCTACACACCTTTCAAATAAAACATGTGGGAGTTGGATTCGATGAGTCTGGAGAAGCAAAACAATTTAAAAATAATTAAGCAATTCCTCTTGCCCTTGAAAATAAAGGAGATTTTAAAGATTTCTATCTTGCACAATGCTTGAGAAAAAATGGAGTGTAAGCATAAGTCTTTGGTTATGTATGCTTTAATACGATGCTTTGCTTCTAACTTGTATTTGTTTGTCTTGTTTTAGAATTCATGGCTCCAAAGTTCAACTTCAATTGGAATATCGTCAAGGCTATTACTACCCAGGGAGCAGGTTCTCGAGGAAGCAAGAACCTTACTACTAGGAACCCAACTATTGGGAACCCTTCTATTGGAAACTTGGCTACTATGAATTGCACTGCCATTCCCCATAGAAATCCATCAGTCCAACCTGGCTCTCACACTAGGTTGACTACTATTGCTCTAGTCCATGTGCCTTGCAAAGATAGAAAAAGGCATCGTGAAAAAAGACTTGAGTGTTCTCACTATAAAAAATCAGGACCTAATGAAGGTACCTTGACTTCTAACACCAACCCCATCTTTGATAAGGGTTTCAACCCCTTATCAGTAATGGATCTCACTGCCCTTTTCTCAATCAACCAAAAAGCTTTTTGGAAATCAAGCCCTGAAATGGCACTAGTCACCTTCTACAACCTCTAACCCTGATCTTAGGTCATAGCTTAGTACCTTCGGACTAAGTTATGCAAAGTTGGTATCATTCCTAATGACATCAACAAGTTAAAAACCTAATTGGATGAAAATTAGGAAAATTTTCATGAGACTTTAAAGATAAACGAGGAGTTGATCCAAGAGGTGGCCAAGTTGCATACCCAAACTGGCGGTCTTCACAACTGAGATGATCAGGCCCAAGATTGTATTTGGCACATCGGGGAAACACAAAAAAAACTCATAGCTTAAATGAAAAGCTTGAAGCATCATCTTTTAGAGATGACCAAGCTGTGAGACGATGAGAAGATGAAAAGGGAGGAGGCCAAGGTAGGGTTGGTGGAGGTACAACACCACATTTACAAACAACACTTGACCGACTTCAACAAACCCATCTGACAAGCAGCTTATTTCTATAACTTGGAAGACATCTCTAATTTCAACATAATTAAAGATGTCTACCAAGGGAAATGGTGGATGTGGAGAACCTGTCGAACAAGTATTGTCTGGAAGTCATCATTGCTCCAAACGCTCAAGTGGAGACTATTGCCAAAGAAACCCATGCTGAGGTGGTGGAAGAGGAGGAGCCTTCTCAAGTCACGGACGAGCAAGCTAACTAGTTTTTTTAGGGGGCTGGTAGTGCCCAATACCTTTTGCCAATGTAATTACTTTTCAATCAATGAAGTTTTCTTTTCAATCACATATACTTGCATGCCTTATATTTTTTATCATTGCATTATGTTGAGTTACTTATTAATTGAGAACTTATATTAGGCCAAGGTTTCCTTACCAAAATTTTATACTTGGATTTTAATTTCTTTGTGCAGTTGACATCTAAAAGTAATGAATGTTACCCACATCTAAAAACAATGAATGCTTTACTAATGATATTGGTGTGCCTCATTATAACCTCTTCGACCAAAATCATTTTCTTTTTTATAAACTCTAGCTTGTATGCCCCCTTATATAAACTTTGAGTTACTCTATAGGGCTTATCCCAGTTAGTTGAGAACTTGTCTTCTATTGCATCCTTCATGGCTTTGCCATGCATTCACCACACCGGGTTTCTTTCTTGGAATTCCCTCTTTACTAATCGAAATGCATGTCATTGGGTTTCCCTCCTGTGACTTGCTTCTTGATGTATTTTAGCTCAATCTCAAACAA